TACATCCATGCACCCACATACACATACACATGCACACGCACAACTACATACACATACCACATATCTACATAGAAATGTATGTGTGTATGTGTGCATGCATGTATGTGTGTAGGTGAATGTATGGAAATATGTGTGTGCACATACGTGTGTATGTATGCTTGAAAGAGAGTGTGCATCCATGTATGTATGTATGCTTGCATGTGTGTTTGTGTGCACAAACATATATGTATATATGTGCATATGTGTATGTGTGTGTGTGTTTGTACGTATGTGGGCATGTGTGTACAAATAAACACCTATATGTATGTCTGTGTTTATGTATGCATGTAACTATGTATGTGTGGATATCGCGGCAAAGACCCCTGGAAGTCTCATCCCTATCCCTGGGACGGGCTTTTCATCCAGAGTCGTCTTTGACAGCCACACGGCCCAACAAGGGTCCCCCCGAGGCCGAACATCTCTTCAGACGTTCCGTCGCGAAATTGTCTCACAACGCGAGGGGGTGGGGGACCCACACCCAGTGGGGCCCGCCTGCGCTGCTCACGCCGCACTCGCCGCAGCCCGTCCCCGCGCTCGGGTTGCACAAGCTAAGAAGGCCGTCTGACGCGTGTGCGCGGCACATCGCAAGAGGCGTGCATCTCTAAACCTCAGAGGAGGAAAAGTGCAGATACCACTACCCTTCCCGCGCGTTCCCCTTTTTGGGCCTCCTGGGAGGCTCTCGTCGCCACCGCTGGATTCGCCTCGGAATTCTGGTCAGAACGCACCCCGGGAGAGGCCCGAGGTCCGAGGAGCAGCGGCATCGGTACTTTTTGGTCTCCCCCAGGCCCTCCTCGCGCCGCGAGCCGTTTGCGGGGGCCCCTCTTTGGCCTCCGAGCTGGCGCAGCCGCCGTGCTGCGTTCTCTCTCTCTCTCTCTCTTTTTCTCTCTCTCTCTCTATCTCTCTCTCTCACTCTCTCTTTCTCTCTCTCTCTCTCTCTCTCTCTCGAGAGAGAGAGAGAGAGAGAGAGAGGCGAGACGAAACGAGAAAAAGAGAGAGAGAGAGTGCAGGAAAAAAAAAAAAACAAGATTAGAGAAGTGGCCGAGATTGCGGAGAAGGAGGAGGAGGAGCCAGGAGGAGAGAGGAGCAGAGGAGGAGGAGGATGCGGAGGAGGGGAGGGACAGATGCGATCCACGTCCGAGGGAAGAGGGAGCGAGGTGGAAAAGAAGAAGGAGGAGGGAGGAAGGAGGAGGAGAGGAGAAGGAGGAGGAGGAGGAGGAGGAAGAGGAGGAGGAGGAAGGAAGAAGGAGGAGGAGGAGGTCTATATTAGGGAGGAGGAGGAGGAGGAGGAGGAGGAGGGGGGAGGAAGAAGGTGAAGGAGGGAGGAGAAGAGAAAGGGGGAGGAGGAGGATGAGGAGGAGGAGGAGGAGGAGGAGGAGGAGGAGGGAGCAGGGAGGAGGGAGGAGGGAGCCCGGGCCTGGATCGCCCTCGCGGCCCCCCCGGGGGGCTGCACGGCTGCAGTGGCCGCTGCATGCCCGCGGCCAGGGCCCCTTCGGGCGCAGGGGCCGCGCCACCGGGGCCGTGGCACCCGTCAGGCCCGCGCCTCTGTAGAGGCCTCCTAAGATGGGGTCGGAGGTGCTGCAGGTCGCAGGTGCTGCTCCTAGACATGCGACGTCCTAATTTTCTAAATACGCGGCGACGCTTTCCCTGGGGCCGGTTTTTCATCCAGAGGCCGAAAGTGGCCAAAAACCTTCCGTCGTGATTGACCGCGATGTCCTCACCCGAATTTGTCCTCGTCCTGGCTTCGTCTTTGACCTCCCGGCAGGTCGCAGGTGCTGCTCACGAAGACCGACCCGCGCGCCAAGACCTCCGTCTTCGGCGTGCGCTCCTCGGGCCGCCCGGCCTCGGAGGCCTGGAGGCTCACACCCACACCGACATCGGCGGTGTGCCTCCACCGAGGGATGGCGATCCCCCCGATCTCGGTCATGGTGGTCGTTTTCGGGCTTCCTACAAGCCTCGTGAAACATAAGCAGACGACTTCAGAATTCGGTGATTGTGGGGTCAGCGCTACTCCAATGCTGACGGGCGCCTGTTGACTCGGACGCGGTGTTGTCCAAAAACCGGCCCCACCCTCTCAGCATTGAAGAACGCGCTTTCTGACTAGTGCCCGGAAGTATCGTGCCCTAGGAATTCAACTTCCATTTCTGGATATTTTTGACGAGGCTTATAAATGGGGTCGGAGGATGGCGCCGCATCGCCGATACATCGGCGATGCATCGGCGATGTATCGGTGATGCGCGGGCGATGCATCGGCGACGTCGGCGATGCATCGGCGACGTCGACGTGAAGCAAATCTGGCTCCACATCGAGCCACATCGGCGATGCATCAGCGATGCGGCGCGATCCTCCGACACCATCCACTCCGACCGCATCCAGGAGGCCTAGAGCCTGGGACCCGCCCCACCCCCCAAAAATCAATCCCCAACTCCCCCGCTCTGACGGAAGAGGTCCAATGACACTCAAATGGATAGACACAGATCCCAGGATTCCCCATCTGTGCAATATGTTCTGGAGGTTCGTCTTTCCCTCCACTTCCCACATGTTCCATTTTCCTGGGGAATCGACGATCATTTGTGTCTGTGTTTATGTCAGCGCGCAGGTCAGATACCTGCCGCTGTAGAAACAGAGACGGTCGAAGGTACCCGACGGCCAGGCTGACCTCCCGCACGCGCCCGTCGACGTCCGATGTTTGAAGAATCCAAAGCTGCTGCACTGAGTCGTGTCGTTTCTCACGTGGGCTCCCCTGTGGATGAGCGGCTTCTTGTCGAGTGAGGGGCGACGTTGCGGGGGGGACTGGAATAGGGGGGGAAACATCGACCTGGAATCATCGATACATCGCCGATAGTACGGCGATAGGCCCCCGATAGTGAATCCGCCGACGATCAATGGGCGATTTGGGGTCGATGCATCCCCTCTATTCCTATCCCCTCTCCCCCGCCATCGTTGTTCCTGGTCGAGCGGAGGCGTATGGCTGTGTTGGTCCGATTGTGCTGAAGTGCGGCTTGGCGAACTCGGTGCAATCGCCAAGATGGTAGCTGGGCGCGCCCAGAGTGGGGATGGAAAGAACGATGACGATGCCAAACACCAGAAGTTGTCTGGAATCGACAGCGGCCGCTGTTAACCAGGCGACGCTCGCCACACAGTAATAACGTCCCGCGGCGACACCGTCAGCGAATCCTGCCCAGTCCAGAAGGGCAAACAAAAACGCTGCCGGCTATCGTCCGCATTCTTTCCATCTCCGCTTCGCCCTCTGCGGTATTTCATAGCCCTGCCTCCTCCTCCTCCTCCTCCTCGTCCCTCTGCTCCTCCTCCTCCTCCTCCTCCTCCTCCTCCTCCTCCTCTATCCCTCCTCCTCCTCCTCCTCTATCCCTCCTTCTCCTCCTCCTCCTCCTTCTCCCTCTCCTCCTCCTTCTCTTCCTCCTTTTCCTCCTCATCCTCTTTTCTCCTTCTCCCTCCTTCCTCTCCTCCTCACTCCTCCTCGCACATCCTCCTCCTTCCTCCTCCTCCTTCTCCTCCTCCTTCTCATTTTTCATCCCGCTTCTGTGCTCCTCCTCGTCCTCCACGCCTCTTTTTCTTCCAGCTGCTCCTCCACTCCTCGAACTGCTGCGTCTTCTCCTGCTGCTCCTACTCCTTCTCCCTCGTTTCCCCTTCGTCCTCCTCCTCCTCCCTTCCTCCTCCTCCTCCTCCTCTTCCTCCTCCTCCTCCCTTCCTCCCTTCCTCCTCCTCCTCCTCCCTTCCTCCTCCTCCTTCTCCTCCTCCTCCTCCTCCTCCTCCTCCTTTTCCTCTTCCCCCTCTCCTTCTCCTCCTCCTCCTCTTCCTCCTCCACCTGGCGCCTCCTCTCCCTCATCCTGCTTTTCCTTTATACATCGCTCTCCCTCTTTCTCTCTCTCTCTCTCTCTTTCTCTCTCTCTCTCTCTGTTTCTTTCCTTACCATTCCCCCTCGACCCTCCCCCCCGCACACATCCTCTTCAGTCGCGGCTAGGCGGGGCAGCCGGGGCCAGCGTAATTAGCTGGTGACCTGGTGTTGGGCATGCCTTTGCCTTTAACACTATTTCGGGAGTGAAGGCGCGGGGGGCGAACCTTTGGCAACAACTACGGATACAGATGCCGAGAGGGGCCCCGAGGGAAACGCGCCCTGGACCAAGACGAAGCCAGGACGAGGACACATCCCGATGAGGATGAATCGAGAATCTCTGAAATCTGGCAGCCCTGGAGGATGTATCGGGCGCCGCGGCCTTCTCAGAGCGTTCTGGAACGCTCGGAGAGCGTTCCGGAACGCTCATGCAAAGGATTTACCCTTGTCCCAGCGACGCCCGATGGGCCCCGGGAATCTCCAGCACTATCTTGTCCTCTGGATACTGCTCACGCACTGGGTAGCTGGGAGTGGTCACGGAAGGCCAGGAACCGAGAAGACAACCTCAGCACGCCATGACTCCAAGACCCCCATGATTCATGCCGAATTCCTCCACCCTTACCTCCCGTTAGCTACTCCTCAAGGCTCCGGGAACGGGGGCTTTGAAAACCAGGACACTGGCACTCCCTAGAAAGATGCAGCCGTGGGTCAAAACACCCTAAATCCTTAGTTGCTACCAGGTGGAGTGTTCAAAAGTCCTGGTTTACGGGGCCTGGAACTCCCTCCCTGTCATGCCAGAGCGCCAAGCCCGATGTCCTCTCTGCTTTCCAGTGCCCCTCACGCTTCCGCAAAGAAACAGATGCATAACCGTACACTTTGCAGTTCTGCGCGAATTGATTGGATCTGCGCTAGGGCCCCCTCCCTGGCGCGCGGAACGCGCAAGGGGCTGTGCCGGAAGCGCCGCCAGGTGGGACCTGGCGCCGACTAAAGAAATCCCCGCGCACGAAAGCTTATGTTTATGTGGTTTTTCTTCTTCGATGCTCGGACGTCGTCGTCGCTCTTCCCGGCGCGCGCGCTGGCGACCAGAGGATCCCTGGTGGAGGGGGCGCGCCATTGCCGGAGGGCCAGCGATGCCGAACATGCCGCGGAAGAAGCCCGAAGAGAACATTGCCACGACGATCGCTGCCGTCACCACGGGCTTTCGGTCCTGCCGGGGAGGACACAGGGACTCAGACATCGGTCGTCGTGATTTGTTAACTCCCAACGTTCCTTAAACATTCCGGGACTTGGGGGTCGTTTCCAGGGACCGAGACTATCAAACTGAGATCCAGGATGAAGACCGTCCATGGGATGGGGTCGATGCTTCTATGGCCCGCGGCCTGAAACCGAAAACAATTCGTCGGATGTCTGGTGAGCTCGAAAGACGCATATTATCATAACAGCTCTTCCGAAAGAGCAATTCTGCCTGGAAGCGCCAGGCCAATGCAGAAGGCCCAGGAAGGAGAAGGACGAGGATCAGTACAGGAGCTCGACCACAAAAAACTTCCCACAAGAAAGCCAACCATGAGACCCCAGGACGTCCATTGAGTTTTTGGTGTCCGAACGTCACGCTTTCCATCGCAAAACCATCGAAGCCCAAGAAACCCAGGGCACCCCGGAGGCAAGCAGAGTGTTTCTCGGCATGGGTTCCCAGAAAGGAGGAATGAGCCTCGGAGTGGGGAGGATGCTTCTTAAGAGTCGCGGCTTCCTGCCCGAATGGAGTTTTAGGCCGACGTCCTGCTTTTCCTGGCCCTCCTGTGCTGCCAGATCCCTATTTTGGACCATCAGCGCCGCAAGTCTCCCCCTCCTCCTCCTCTTCCTCCTGCTCCTTCTTCTCATCATCCTCTTCATCCTCCTCCTCCTCCGCCTCCTCCTCCTCCTCCTCCAAATGTTTTCCCCCACCTTTTCTGTTCCTTCACGATTCGGGCCAATGCCTCTGGCGCGCACCCCCGTGTTGCTGGGTCCTCCTTTGGTTCCGCAGCACCGCGCTCCGCAGTCCTTCCCTCCCTCTCCTCGCTCCCCTCCCTGCCCTTCCCCTTCGTCCGCATGTCCCTCTCGGCCCGCCCACCACGCAGTATTTCCGGTGCGCGGCCACTCTCCGCATGCCTCTTCGGCACACCCCCTACGATGAGCGTTTCTTCCCACACGGTGCTCCGCCTACGTTCTCAGTGAGGGCCCGCACATGATTTTGGGGCACACCTCTCGCGAGGATCGCGGCCCCATGGAGAGCTCCGCCGGCGGTCTCAGTGGCGCTGGCGCATGGCGCCACCGCCTCCACTTCCGCACACCCATCACGAGGACCGTGGCCCCTTGGAGAGCTCCACCGACTGTCTCGGTTGGCGCCGACGGATGGCGCCACCGCCCTTATTTGGGCACATCCCCTCACGATGATCATGGCACCATGAATGAGCTCAACCTACGGCCTGTAGGCGCCGACTCATGGCGCCACCACCCCCAGTAAGGCACACCCCTCACGAGGATCGTCGCCCCATAGAGATCTCCGCGGACGGCCGCAGCGATGGGGGTCACACGAGCCCCCCCGCCTGTTTCGCCACACCCTTCATACGTACGCTATGTGCCCCCAAAAGGTTAAGGGCGCCAGCCGAGGCGCCAGTCGGGGATGCAAGATGAGGCCCCCCGCTAAGTTAGGTGCACCATCACTCCCGCCGTGCCCCCACACATAGGGAGCTCCACCTACGGCCTCAGTGAGCGCGTGCACATGCGCCCCCGCAAACTCCGACGCACTCCCGCGCACGTCGTTCGCCTTTCATCCCATTCTCCACCCATCCCGTGCCCTGCTCGCCCCCCCCTCCCGCCAATCGCAGTCTCCCATTCTCCATTCCTCTGTGCCTTCTCTCTCTTCTCCCTGCCCCATCATCGAGTGCTCCGTTCTCCACGAATCATCCATCATCTACTTCTTCCTTCGCCAATCATCACGGGTCACGCCCTCCCTTCTGCCTTCTCCAATGCCCCCTCGTCCCCCAACTCATCCTCTTTCTCCTCCTCCTCTTATCTCCATCCCTTGCCCTTATGGACAGCACCTCCTCGTCTGACCACCAGACATGTCGCTAGGGCGGGCCGGGCGTCTCGCCTGAGACTTCCTCCCTCTTTACGACCCCGGAGCTTGACATATTCACCGGTACACTGAGGGAGGGTAGTTTTTCAGTGTGGCTCCCGCCATAGCGCCACACACAAACACACGCGTATACACACTCGAATGAAACGAGTCAGACGGTTACTTGGATGGAGAGGATCGTTGTTAGCTGTGGCTCTCGCCTTAGAGCCGCGCACATTTGTTCGAAACGCTGCGCAGCAATTGCACGTCTGGAGGGCGGGCTGGTTGTTTAAAGTGGCTATCGCCTGAAAGCCGCGCAACTTCGTCCTCAATCTTTCCACCACATGTGGAGTGGCGAGTTCATTCTGCATGCGGCGTTCGCCTTAGAGCCGCGCGCGTTCATCTAAATAGTTCCGACAGCTAGAGAACTAAAAGAGAAGTGCTTTCATAATGTGGTTACCGCCTTAGAGCCGTGCGCATTCGTCTTTAAAGCTCCAGACACTTACACGGATGCAGGGGGTGGGGTCAGGCTCAACATGTGTCCCTCGCCGAAGCGCCGCGCACATTCGTCGCAAAAGCTTCCAAGGCATTCGCGGCTGAAGAAGAGGGGTTGCTTCAAGAATGTGGCTCTCGTGCCTTCAGAGTTTCCAGCAGTTACATGGGCGGAGGGCGGATTCTGCTCATCATAGAACTTTCGCTTGAGGCTTCCTGAATCCGTCTAGCCAAGACAGCTACACGGATGGAGGGCAGAGCCTTCCTTTCTCCCTAGAGGTTTTCGCTAAAATGGTTCGACGACTACCTACCAGACCACCCCAACCCAACCCGAAGACCCGAATTTCGGGTTTGGGGGGGGGTACGGGCTTCATACGTGTTTTTCCAGTGTACCTCGGCCCCCCCCCACTGGGAATGGAGGGTTGGGGCATTCGGGTTGGGTTGGGGTGGTCTGGCGGGTGGTAAGATACACTGGATGGGGCAATACTCGTCCCCCTGGGATCCGCTGGGGGGGTTGGACACGCGCCGTCGGAACGGGTGGAGGGGGGGTTGGAAGAGGAGGAGGAGGAGGAGGAGGAGGAGGAGAAGGAAGGGAAGGAGGAGGAGGAGGAGGAGGAGGAGGGGGGAGGGTGGAGGTGGAGGTGGATGTGGAGGAGGAGGAGGAGGAGGAGGTGGAGGTGGATGAGGAGGAGGAGGAGGTGGAGGTGGATGAGGAGGAGGAGGAGGGGGGGGTGGGGGGATGGGCAAGCTCCGTCGGAGGGTTAGTCGCCCACCCCTCGATGAGCATCCCGACCAGAGCAGCGGCAGGCGAGGGCCACCGAAGAGTCCCACAGGAGGGGCGCGGGGAGCCTGAGACCGCCGGGACTGGCAGCGGTCTCGGGCAGCCGCTTCGCCCGAGAGCCCCCCACGGCTTCTTCGGGCGCCGCGCCCTCGCCGCACTGCCGGCTGCACTCTTCGGGGGCGCGCAGACGTGGAGCAGCGATCCGTGGATCTGGCGCGCGGTCGCCACATCCACGGATCGGGGGAGGTGCCCTCCCCAGGACGCGGCCCGTGCCGCCTCGCTCGGTGGCGGGAAGCCGCGATTTCCCATGGAAACGGGACTGGTCGCCAAGCCACGCCCCCTCGCTCCATGCTTGCACTCGCCTGAATGTTTGGTCTGGAGGGCCACGATCCCTCGTAAAGAAACGCTGTGCACGTGGTCGTGCTCTCGCCTCTGTCCCTGCTGCGCCTGTCGCGCGGTCTCGGGTTGTTTCCAAGGGCTCCCTAGGAATGCAGGTGCGGCCTCCTACTTCTCGGCCCGCCTCTTCACCGCTGCTGCTACCAGGGTGTTTTGCGGGGGCAGCCAGATCGGGACTCTCGCTGAGGATATCCTCAGGTTTGAAAGCGACGACGCGTTAAGCATGGGAGGACACGTGCACGTACTGAGGTAGGCTCTTTCTCGAAGCGGGGCTCTCGCTGGAACCATCATGTTGCTGTCTGATCCTTATAGCAAACAGCACGGATGGCAACTCCAGTTCGAAACATGAAAATGGTGCGCTCGTCCTGTTCCATGGGGGTACTTCCCGTAGTGATAATATCTTGCTTTAGTGCCTCATGAGAAGGGGGCTTGGGACGCGTGGGCCTACTGCAACATCCTTGATGCAACTTGGGCGTGCTCTGGCCAATCTCCTCCTCCTCCTCCTCTTCCTCCTCCTCCCCCTTGCTATCTAGCGGCTGGCGCCTGGATGCTCAAGCTGGGCTTGTGGTCATCCGTTCTGCCACACGTGCGCGCGATTGTCTGGACACAGGCGACGGAGAGGAAGAGGCCGCCCAGGAGGCGCTTGGCCCAGAGCGACCTCCGGGATGCGGCGGCAGAGCGGGGAAGCGGGGGCGGCGGATGGGGCAGGGGTGGGTGAGTGGGCAGGAATCGAATAGGGGATCGACAGCAGAATTGCTTTACCCCAGACCTGACTTTCTCGCCGAAACCATGAAACAAAAACGTTCGCAGAATGTTCGTAGAACGAACATTCTGCGTTTCATTCGAGGATTCGCCGAGAGAACCAGTCTTGGGGTGTACCCATTCTGTAGTCGATCCCCTACCCGAAGGGAGCGGGGAGCGGGGGGGGGTGGGCAGAGGGGGCTCGTGGCGGATGCTGGGAAGCGGGGGGGGAGGGGGTGCGCGTGGGGAGGCTCCAGCCTTCGGGCCCAGCGCACAGGATTCGAGCCACAGTAGCAGGACAAGCTATATTAGCTTACGCAAGCCACACCGGGTTCGAGTCCCAGGGAAACTTTATGTCAGCAGACATCGAACCAAAACATAATCAGAGTGAGGGGGCCGAACGGTCATTCACTGTCCCTGGGTGCGTGGCTGAAGTGGAATTCTGCGGTGCGGATTCGTGTTGTTGTTGTTGTTGTTGTTGTTGTTGTTGTTGTTGTTGTTGTTGTTTTTGTTGTTGTTGTTGTTGTTGTTGTTGTTTGTTGTTTGTTGTTGCTTGTTGTCGTCGTCCCACCCGCAACCCGCCCCGCGACCCACCCGCGACCCAACCCGCGACCCGCCCAGCGACCCACCCGCGACCCACCCGCGACCCAAACCCGCGACCCACCCCGCGACCCACCCCGCGACCCACCCCGCGACCCACCCGCGACCCACCCCGCGACCCGCCCGCGGCCCACCCCGCGACCCACCCGCGACCCACCCGCGACCCACCCGCGACCCACCCGCGACCCACCCGCGACCCACCCGCGACCCACCCCGCGACCCACCCTCGACCCACCTTCGACCCAAACCGCGTTCAACGTACAACCCACCATTTTCGGCGCCTGCGGCTGTTTTTTTTGCATTCCGTCCAGGTGGAGGGCCCGCGGCCCACACCGTGGCCAACTTGCGACCAACCCGCGACCCAAACCACGTTCAGAGTACAAACCAGAGTTTTCGGCGCCTGCGGCGGGCATCTTTTGCAGTCGTTTCAAGTGGAGAGCCCGCGGCCCACCCGAGACCACGTTCAGCGTGCAAACCAAATGTTTCGGCGCCTGCGGCGGGCATCTTTTGCATTCGTTCCCGGTGGAGAACCCGCGGCCACCCGCGACCTAAACCACGTTCAGTGTACAAACCATTTTTTTTGGCGCCTGCGGCGGGCTGCTTTTGCATTCCTTTCAGGTGGAGGTGGAAAGCCCGCGACCCACCCGCGACCCAAACCACGTTCACTGAACAAACCAATGCCGCACAAGCGCGGCGGCGGATTTTTGCATGCCGTCTGCGCCCGCAAGGACCTCTTCAAGCCCCGCGCGTCCACACCAGCCCGTCCAGCAACTTTGCCCTGGAGAATTGCCTTGATCAGAGAAGTCGGGGACCATAAAGTGGAAAAAAGGACTGCGTTGCCGTTATCTTGGGAAAAGAGAGGGAGGCAGGTGGAGTAAACATGGAACGAGGAGGACGCGGAAGAGAGAGGATGCAAGGGAATGTGGAGAAAGAAAAGGAGGAGGAGGCAGGAGGACGAGGGGGGAGGAGGGGGAGGAGGGGGAGGAGGAGGACGAGGAGGGGGAGGATGGGGAGGATGATGATGATGGACGACAATGGGAGGACGATGATGGAGGCCGATGAGGGGGAGGACGACAATGGGAGGACGATGATGAAAGGACGAGGGGGGAGGGGGAGGACGAGGAAGAGGAGGAGGAGGAGGAGGAGGAGGAGGAGGAGGAGGAGGAGGAGAATGACGATGACGATGAGGACGAGGACGAGGAAGAGGAGGAGGAGGAGGAGGAGGAGGAGGAGGAGGAGGAGGAGGAGGAGGAGGAGGAGAGCGTCATCGACAGGGAAGGTGGGGGCCACGAGGTCCGCCGGCTCGGCGACGCCCGCGTCGCCCGCGCCCGCCCCCTCACTCTTATCCGCAATTGCGGGGTGCTACGTATATTTCGGGAGTCGCATATCTGAGCCAAATCGAAGGAGAACACCAGAGTCCAATTTCTGGATCTGCGAGGGCTGAATTTGAGGAGATGGAACACCATAGTGAGCCGCATTTCTGGACCAAATCGAACCAGAACGCACTAGTGAGCGCTGCCGGGCCGCTCTGCCGGGCCGCCGCCGGGCCTGGGAAACGCCTCCCCCCAGCCCCCCCCGTGGAGATTCGGCTGAGGTAAACTGTTGCTGGCTACTCGAGCCCTCCAGTGAAACGCTCTTAGGGAAAAACGCATTCTCGCCATGTCCTCTGGCCTCCGGCAGCCGAGAACGGCCCCCGGGGGCCTCCAAGGCAGGTCTGAAGCCCCCAAGAGGTCCTCCAAGACGGGCCAAGGATGCCCCCGAGACGGCCACGAGACGGCCGCCTGCCCTGCTGCAGGAACCCCGGGCGGCCCAGACAGGTTCCCAAGACGTCCTCCGAGAGCGTCCGACGGGCCTGGAAAGCCCCGAGACGGCCCAAAAGATGCCCCGCGCAGCCCCCCCAGAGGCCCCCAGGCAAAGGCCCCAGGAAGGTCCCGAGCTGGCCCTCAGAGGCTCCACCTCGTCCACCTTCTCCTCTTCCTCCTCGCCGCGAAGCTCGGCCTCGATATTGCACCTCCCCTTGGATTATCTTGCCCCCATCATACTCAAGGACCACATTTCAGAGAAGACGTCGAGCACAGAGAAACAAGTATGGAAACAATGGATGCGCAACACGCTAGCGCAGTGTCGAAGGAGTATCGCTTCCCAGGGTCCGACACGTGAAAACCATACATATTCGGTACTTCCCTGGTGCTCGAAATTCTTTCTGGTGCTCAAGGCGAAAGTCGGTTGGAACATCATAACCCTTGGACTCCTTCCCAGCATTGCCCATGGGTGTGGGGTCGACCTCGTCAGGGGGCTCGCCCTGTGTGGATTCCCCCATCCCGCGCCGAGGCCGAGAACCTCGGGCAGCGGCTTCTGGACAAGAGGAAGCGGGAGGCGTCCTCCCCCAAGTTCAGAGAGCGCGGCGAGGTCTGACTACTCAACTTACTAAGCCTTGATGCGTCGCCGGGCCGCTTGGTCCGAACGCGCCCAGATGGACGACGCCGGCACCACGGCAAACCCAACCCACAACAAACCCTGCGTCCCGCGCCCCGAAAAGGCAAAGCCGGCACCGCGGCAAACCCCACGGCAAGCCCGCCGCGTCCGAGGCGGCGTTCGCCCTGGTGGCCGCGGCGCCCTTCCCAGGGCGGCAGGCCGCGCGTCGGAGCAAACGGCGCGGCGACATATAATGTCTCATGTTTAGCTGGGTGGCCTACTCGGCTAGCCGTGGTGCTCCTCACCTTCCTCCTCCTCCTCCTCCTCCTCCTCCTCACAGTCTTCCTCTCCGAAGTGTTCCCCCGAGGGCTTCCACAATGAACAGGAGAACACATCTTCCAATAGTTTGGCCAGGCGTTGGTCGAACGTTTGGCCACGTAAGCGCTTCCAGAGGACAGGGGACGGTGGTGGTTCGCCGTGCGCGTCTTCCGAAGTAACACCAGTGACGGTACCAGTCACAGGAGTGTCAGGAGCAGAACGAACAGCAGCAGAACTAGTCGAAACAGTTCTGTAGCTTTCCCAACACGAAGACACACGAGAAAGGGGAACGGGCGAGTCGCACGAGTCGCATGCGGGGGCACGTGTACGAGAACCCTGGCAGGGCAGACACGTCCGCTGCGGCGAGAGCGGAGATGGACCAGCGGAGCCCACCATGAGGCGAGCTGGCTCCAGAGCGCGGAGCGGCACAAACGCCGCGGGTGCCCAAAGAGCTTCTTTTCGCAGGGGGCGCACAGGTCCTGAGGGAGAAACAGGTCTCGGATTCCGGGGGCCTTCCCCAGGACGAGATCTTCCTCTTGAACCGCGTTCTGCCAGTCTCCCGGGGCCCGTAGATACGGGGTCCAGAAATATGCACCACCAGCGCCTCCCTCACCTCCCCCCTCTCCCATGAGAAACGGGAGGGGAAGAGGAGAGTGGAGGAGGGAGGGGGCACGGAGGCGGTGGTGGTGTATACCTTCCTGGGGCCCGCAGGAGCGGGCCTCGGGAGCCCGACAACGGGGACGAACAGCCTCAGGACCCGCCTCCCCTCGGGACCCGCTGCCCCCCACCTTGGCGGCACGGGCGCCGCGGGAGCTCCGAGGGCTCCTCCCCGCCGCCTCGGGTGGCTTCGCAGCCCGCCCGACAGGCGCCGTGGAGAGGAGGAGGAGGAGGAGGAGGAGGAGAAGGAGGAGGCGGAGGAGGAGGAGGAGGAGGAGGCGGAGGAGGAGGCGGAGGAGGAGAAGGAGGAGGCGGAGGAGGAGGAGGCGGAGGAGGCGGAGGAGGAGGAGGCGGAGGAGGCGGAGGAGGAGGAGGAGGAGGCGGAGGAGGAGGAGGAGGAGGAGGAGGCGGAGGAGGAGGCGGCGGCGGCGGCGGCGCCGCTGAGGGCCCCCCGGTGCGCGGCCGCCGCGGGCGCCCCTCAGAGGAAGCGCCGCGTGCCCGCGGCCCGGGCGGCGGCGCCCGCGGGCAGGAGCAGCCGCTCCGCCGCCAGCGCCCGCTCGCGCGTGAGGCCCACGCGCCCGTCCGTGCGCACGAAGTGGCCCCGCAGCAGGTCGGGGTCCTCGGCTGGCCATCGCTCGCATGTCTATTCCCTGTGTTTTTTTCGGCTTCGTGCGTGGGATTTTCGCCAGATCATCAAGGATGCACACGCCCGAGCGATGCCAAGTCGGGGAGAAAGAGGGAAAAACTGCAGAAGCACATGAGTTCTCGGGGGTCCGCGTGGGCTTCTGGGGTCGGCGCTGGACCCCGTCCCAGGCGCGCGGAGCGCGCCAGGGGCGGCACCGGAGGCGCCGCCCGGGGGGGAAGGGGCGGGGGGCCAAGCGCCGATGGAAGAAGTCCGCGCGGATCTCAGAAGTCACGCAGCACCCCACAATTGCGGATGACAGTCAGGGGGCGGGCGCGGGGTGGGTCGCGGGTGTGTCGCGGTTGGGTCGCGGGTGGGTCTCTGGTCGGTCGCGGGGTGGGTCGCGGGGTGGGTCGCGCGGGGGGGGGGGGACGACGACACCAAACAACAACAACAACAACAACAACAACAACAACAACAACAACAACAACAACAACAACAACAACAACAACAACAACAATCACTTTACCCGAACGCTCAGTGTTCTCACCAGTGCCAGGGTTTTCATGCGACGCCAGCCAATACCCCCACTTTGTGGGGGGGCAGTGCAAGCTCTACCAAATATCCACACGACTCTTCGCCACCACCCACACCCAGCTTCCCGCCCTATGACGTTCGGACACTTCACTTCGTGGCCTGCGGACGACCGTGGCTACTACACTGGCGTGGAGTACACACCCACAGAAGTTGTTAAGCCTACGTTCGTACACCCACAGAAGTTGTTAAGCCTTGTGAACCCACAGAAGTTGTTAAGCCTTCCACAGAACATCTGTTGCATATGATGCATATGGTACATGATACACATGATACACATGATACGTACTCACAAGATAGTTGATCACATCTTTAGGGCAAATTCCTGAGGGATGTGGGAATACACAAGAGAGAGAGGATATGGTTGTCCCGATGGTTGTCTCGATGGTTGTCCCGATGGTTGTCCTGATGGTTGTGGTTGTCCCGATCGTTGTCCCGATGATTGTCCCGATGGTTGTCCATGATGGTTGTGCAGGTGTTTTTCGAGGACCTACGGTGCGATTCGTGTGATTTTATGATGCGCGGTGCTAAAATTCTTAAGAAGCCCAATGGTTTTTGGAGATTTCGGCGTGCGCGCGCAAAAAACGAATGTGTCCCGCATGGTATTATTTGACAGGGATGATGGCCCTGGCAGGTGCGCAACCGTTGTCGCAGAAGTTCGAAAAAGTTGCTCGCAAAAGCCCGTTTGACAGAAATGTTTAAAAAGTGTTGGGTTTCCTACGAATCCGCAAGAGCGCGCGGGATGAGATTTTGACATTTTTTTGTTGAAAAACCATTGGTTTTTTGATGTTTTTATGTTAAAATCGCTCCGAACACTAAGCTTTTGGAAGGATTTCGTCTTGCGCGCGCGAATGTCCACTTTACCTTATTTTTTGCAAGGGATTCTTGAAATTTGATTATATTAGAACAAGAAATGTCATTTTTATTGTTTTTTTTGCAAGGGAAAACGGATTACAACAAAACAACCGGATCCTGACACACCCTCGTTTTCTGAGGCTTCCTCACGAAAATGATGAAAATGTAGCTGCGGCCTAGGCGGCGCAGGGGGGCCGTGCACCAGGGGTCCCAACAATAATTATTCTTTAGAATTAATAATGTTCAACAACAACAACAACAACAAAACAATCACTTTACCCGAACGCTCTGTGTTCTCACCAGTGCCAGGGTTTTCATGCGACGCCAGCCAATACCCCCACTTTGTGGGGGGGCAGTGCAAGCTCTACCAAATATCCACACGACTCTTCGCCACCACCCACACCCAGCTTCCCGCCCTATGACGTTCGGACACTTCACTTCGTGGCCTGCGGACGACCGTGGCTACTACACTGGCGTGGAGTACACACCCACAGAAGTTGTTAAGCCTACGTTCGTACACCCACAGAAGTTGTTAAGCCTTGTGAACCCACAAGGCTTAACAACTTGTGAACCCACACCCGTTGCAAGAGCGTGCGAAAGTAGCTCGCGCGAGCTCATGTAACATAAATGTTGGAAAACCATTGGTTGTTTTAGGATTCGGACAGCGCGCGCGGGTGGAAATTTTGAAAAGTCGTGCAGGTGTTTTTCGAGGACCTACGGTGCGATTCGTGTGATTTTATGATGCGCGGTGCTAAAATTCTTAAAAACCCAATGGTTTTGGAGATTTCGGCGTGCGCGCGCGAAGAAAAAACGAATGTGTCCCGCATGGTATTATTTGACAGGGATGATGGCCCTGGCAGGTGCGCAACCGTTGTCGCAGAAGTTCGAAAAAGTTGCTCGCAAAAGCCCGTTTGACAGAAATGTTTAAAAAGTGTTGGGTTTCCTACGAATCCGCAAGAGCGCGCGGGATGAGATTTTGACATTTTTTTGTTGAAAAACCATTGGTTTTTTGATGTTTTTATGTTAAAATCGCTCCGAACACTAAGCTTTTGGAAGGATTTCGTCTTGCGCGCGCGAATGTCCACTTTACCTTATTTTTTGCAAGGGATTCTTGAAATTTGATTATATTAGAACAAGAAATGTCATTTTATAGTGTGTTTTTGCAAGGGAAAACGGATTACAACAAAACAACCGGATCTTGATGACATCGTATTACCTGAGGCTTCCTCACGAAAATGATGAAAATGTAGCTGCGGCCTAGGCGGCGCAGGGGGGCCGTGCACCAGGGGTCCCAACAATAATTATTCTTTAGAATTAATAATGTTCAATTACTAGCACGTGGGGACACTCCGTTCTCACCAGTGCCAGGGTTTTCATAGGAGGCGGGCAATACCCCCACTTTGTGGGGGGGCCGGTTCAAGCTCTACCAAATTTCCAAACGACTCTTCGCCACCACCCACACCCAGCTTCCCGCCCTATGACGTTCGCACACTTCACTTCGTGGCATGCGGACGACCGTGGCTACTATTCAGGGCCCCGCGGCCGACGACGACGGCGTGCGCGCGCGAAGAAAAAACGAATGTGTCCCGCATGGTATTATTTGACAGGGATGATGGCCCTGGCAGGTGCGCAACCGTTGTCGCAGAAGTTCGAAAAAGTTGCTCGCAAAAGCCCGTTTGACAGAAATGTTTAAAAAGTGTTGGGTTTCCTACGAATCCGCAAGAGCGCGCGGGATGAGATTTTGACATTTTTTTGTTGAAAAACCATTGGTTTTTTGATGTTTTTATGTTAAAATCGCTGCGAACACTAAGGTTTTGGAAGGATTTCGTCTTGCGCGCGCGAATGTCCACTTTACCTTATTTTTTTGCAAGGGATTCTTGAAATTTGATTATATTAGAACAAGAAATGTTATTTTCTATTGTTTTTTGCAAGGGAAAGCGGATTACAACAAAACAACCGGATCCTGTACACACCCTCTTTTCTGAGGCTTCCTCACGAAAATGATGAAAATGTAGCTGCGGCCTAGGCGGCGCAGGGGGGGCGCGCACCAGGGGGCCCAACAATAATTATTCTTTAGAATAAATAATGTTCAACAACAACAACAACAACAACAACAACAACAACAACAACAACAACAATTACTAGCCCGTGGGGACACACCGTTCTCACCAGTGCCAGGGTTTTCATAGGAGGCGGGCAATACCCCCACTTTGTGGGGGGGCCGGTTCAAGCTCTACCAAATTTCCAAACGACTCTTCGCCACCACCCACACCCAGCTTCCCGCCCTATGACGTTCGGACACTTCACTTCGTGGCATGCGGACGACCGTGGCTACTATTCAGGGCCCCGCGGCCGACGACGACGGCGTGCGCGCGCGAAGAAAAAACGAATGTGTCCCGCATGGTATTATTTGACAGGGATGATGGCCCTGGCAGGTGCGCAACCGTTGTTGCAGAAGTTCGAAAAAGTTGCTCGCAAAAGCCCGTTTGACAGAAATGTTTAAAAAGTGTTGGGTTTCCTACGAATCCGCAAGAGCGCGCGGGATGAAATTTTGACAATTTTTGTTTGAAAAAACCATTGTTTTTTTGATGTTTGTATGTTAAAATCGCTACGAAAACTAAGGTTTTGGAAGGATTTCGTCTTGCGCGCGCGAATGTCCACTTTACCTTATTTTTTGCAAGGGATTCTTGAAGTTTGGTTATGTTAGAACAAGAAATGTCCACTTTAGCTTATTTTTTGCAAGGGAAAACCGATCGTAACAACACAACCGGATCCGGACCAACCCGTTTTGCTTGAGACTTCCTCACGAAAATGATGAAAATGAGGCTGCGGCCTAGGCGCGGCGGGGGGGTCGTGCACCAGGGGCCCCAACAATAATTATTCTTTAGAAGTAATAATGTTCAACAACAACAACAACAACAATTACTAGCACGTGGGGACACTCCGTTCTCACCAGTGCCAGGGTTTTCATAGGAGGCGGGCAATACCCCACTTTGTGGGGGGGCCGGTTCAAGCTCTACCAAATTTCCAAACGACTCTTCGCCACCACCCACACCCAGCTTCCCGCCCTATGACGTTCGGACACTTCACTTCGTGGCATGCGGACGACCGTGGCTACTATTCAGGGCCCCGCGGCCGACGACGACGGCGTGCGCGCGCGAAGAAAAAACGAATGTGTCCCGCATGGTATTATTTGACAGGGATGATGGCCCTGGCAGGTGCGCAACCGTTGTTGCAGAAGTTCAAAAAAGTTGCTCGCAAAAGCCCGTTTGACATAAATGTTTAAAAAGTGTTGGGTTTCCTACGAATCCGCAAGAGCGCGCGGGATGAAATTTTGGCATTTTTCTTTAAAAAAAAAACATTTTTTTTAAAAAAAAAAAAACATTTTTTTTTTTTTTTTTTTTTTTTTTTTTTTTTTTTTTTTTAAATGTTTTTATGTTAAAATCGCTACGAAAACTAAGGTTTTGGAAGGATTTCGTCTTGCGCGCGCGAATGTTCACTTTACCTTATTTTTTGCAAGGGGTTCTTGAAGTTTGGTTATGTTAGAACAAGAAATGTCCACTTTAGCTTATTTATTTGCAAGGGAAAGCGGGCCGTAACAACACAACCGGATCCGGACCAACCCGTTTTGCTTGAGACTTCCTCACGAAAATGATGAAAATGAGGCTGCGGCCTAGGCGCGGCGGGGGGGTCGTGCACCAGGGGCCCCAACAATAATTATTCTTTAGAAGTAATAATGTTCAACAACAACAGCAACAACAGCAACAACAACAACAACAACAACAACAACAACACCAACAACAACAACAACAACAACAACACCAACACCAACAACAACAACAACAACACCAACACCAACACCATCAACAACAGCAACAACAACCACAACAACAGCAACAACAACAACAATCGTTTTAAGACTGTTCGCTCTCAAATGCTCGTGTTCCAACCAGCATGCATCTCCCAAAACTCTCGGTACCCGCCCTCTTCGTCTTTGATCGTGCTCCCTTGGGGGGGGACATCTTCCTTCCCTGCCACGTGTAATTGGCGCAGCCCCTAAAAGAGGAAGAACATACATAACAGAAACTGGACAGAGCGAGAAAAAGGGAGTGGGGGAAAGGAGGGGGGAGGAAAAGGGGCCCAGAGGGAAGGACGGTTGCAGGACGAGAGGGATTAGCAAGAGGGCTTACCAAGAGGGGATGGCAAAGACATCTCAGGCAAGAGCGCGGTTCCAGAGTGAATTATGAGGATGTTCCGAGCGACAGCAAAATTCCAGAGCGCCGAGAGAGCGGTTCGCGAATACATTGTAAGGAAGTCCCAGGCGAGAGCGCGCTTCTGGGATGAATTGCATGGACGTCTCAAGCGGGAGCGCGATTCCACAAATGCTAGCCACCGTTGACCCCCAAAACAGTGACGCCTTGCGATCTAAGCGGCGGAACCTGGGTGGTGCAATCCAGGTGGTGCACGCCCTAGGCAGTGCAGTCCATGTGGCGCGAAGCGGTGCGAGGCAGTGAGGCGCCAAAGCGCTGGCGATAGCAATCCAAAAGCAGTGCGAGTCGACTCCTGAACAGCGCGATGGGACGCAGTGCCACGCACCGCAGACCGACGCAAGAGCGAGGCAGTGCGGCGCTAAAGCGCCGGCAGTAGCAGTCCCAAAGCAGTGCGAGCCGATTCCTGTGCAGCGCGATGGGAAGCAGTGCCGCGCCCTGCGGACCGACGCCAAAGCGAGGCAGTGCGGGCGCCAAAGCGCTGGCAGCAGCAACCCAAAAGCAAGGCGAGTCGACTCCTGTGCAGCGCGATGGGAAGCGGTGCCGCGCCCCGCGGACCGACGCCAAAAAGCGAGGCAGTGCGGCGCCAAAGCGCCGGCAGCAGCAACCCAAAAGCAAGGCGAGTCGACTCCTGTGCAGCGCGATGGGAAGCGGTGCCGCGCCCTGCGGACCGACGCCAAAGCGAGGCAGTGCGGGCGCCAAAGCGCTGGCAGCAGCAACCCAAAAGCAAGGCGAGTCGACTCCTGTGCAGCGCGATGGGAAGCGGTGCCGCGCCCCGCGGACCGACGCCAAAAAGCGAGGCAGTGCGGCGCCAAAGCGCCGGCAGCAGCAACCCAAAAGCAAGGCGAGTCGACTCCTGTGCAGCGCGATGGGAAGCGGTGCCGCGCCCTGCGGACCGACGCCAAAAAGCGAGACAGTGCGGGCGCCAAAGCGCTGGCAGCAGCAACCCAAAAGCAAGGCGAGTCGATCCCTGTGCAGCGCAATGGGACGCAGCGCCACGCACTGCGGACCGGCGCAACAGCAATCCAAAAGCAAGGCGAGCCGACTCCTTTGCGGCGCGATGGGACGCAGTGCCGCGCCCTGCGGACCGACGCAAACACGCAGTGCCGTGCGACTGCCATGACCGCAGCGCCCGGCGGCGACGGGCGACGGCGGGCGGCCGCGGGCCGGCCGGACCGCCACCGGGGGCTCGCGCGTGCTCGAGGCGGCGGCGGCGGCGGCGGCGGCGGCGGGCGGCGCCTGGCGGCCACGAGCCGGCCAGACCGCCACTGGCGGTAAGTCGGGCCTGCCCCCCTACAGGGGGATTTTGGACGAAACATTGAAAATCGTAGAAAGATGCATCAAAAATCCCCCAAAAAGGTCAAAAATCGTCCCCTGATTATTTTTGACATTTTTTTTTGACTATTTTTCCGACTGAGCACTGGCGCTCAGCTGCTGTAGAAGGGAAGTAAGAACCCCTAGGTGCAGGCACTGCTCGAAGCATTGTGAGGAGGTATCACGCGGGAGCCTCTGTTGCTGTGGTTCGGGGGCTCGGGGCCCAAGCTGACGCACAAGACTCTCCCTTTTGTAGAGAAGAAGGTGCGGGCCCTGGGAGGGGCACTTCGATTGAAAAAAGCATGTGATACCGGGAAGGGGAAAATTCAAGAACCAAGCAGCATCCGGGCAAGACCTTTCGGCCCCCTCTGGGGAAACCAAAGGGTACCAATACCGCTGCTCCCTAGACCTCTCCTGGGGTGCGTTCTGACCGGGATTTCGAGGCGAATCCAGCGGTGGCGACGAGGGCCTCCCAGGATGTCCCCCCAAAAGGGGGACAACGGGCAAAGGGTAGCGGTGGGGATACCTCCTCCTCCTCGTCCTCTGACTTTCGGCCCCCTCACTCTGATGTTCATGCCGATTCTTTACGCCACGAAAATATGTACACGGACACCCTCCGACGAACTTTGCACGTACTTTCAGGGAGAGCGGCGGTGTAAAGTTGTAAAGTCGCTGCCTCTCAGTGGTGACTCATGAACCGCCACCCCCCTCTGAGGCCCTGGAACAGTCCATTGGAGGGCGTCTGTGTATGTACTTTCGTGGCGGGCCCTTGCGCTTCGAGTCCTGGCGCCCGAGGTCCCGGTCGTCGATGGCCACCCAGCGCGCGCCGGCTGCCTGCCGCGGGTGCGCGCGCAGCCAGCTCGAGATCTCCGCCGCCCTGCACTCGACGCCCGGGCACAGCGACGGCGTGGCGCCCAGGAGCCTGCTCGTCGGCACACCTGGGCGGCCCGGGGGCTCCGACGAGACCAGGCCGAGGATCAGATCGGGTGAGGCTCCGGATGCAGTAGGGGCCCGTCCACAAGAAGCCTTCCACGAGGAGCCCAATCCTGAGACCCCAGGGCGGCCATGGATTTTTGGTGTGGGAAGGTCACGCTTTCCATAGCGAAACCATCGAAACCCAAGAAACCCAGGGCACCCTGGAGGCAAGCAGCGTGTTTCTTGGCATGGGCCTCCACTGTAAATCGAGAATCTGTGAGACTCGCGGCTGTGAACGATGTCTCGGGCACCGCGGCCTTCTCAGGGCGTTTTGGATTGGGGATCAACTGGCCCGGGTCGATCCAGATCTGGGTCAGTCAGGCCTTGCAGGATCCTGCAGTGTCCTGCAGTGTCCTGCAGGATCCTGCACCCAAGCATGGGTCAATGCAGCCCTGGCTCTGCAGGATCCTGCAGGACCCAGTGCTCTGACTGACCCCCGTTTGCGTCGACCCCCACCTCTTGAGCCCGGACTGGCACGCTCTGAGATAGCTCCGGAGCGCTCTGGAACAGATTCCTCCTCGCCCCAGCCCCACCCGACGTCCGCTCGCCTGGCATCGTCCATTTACAATCGGGAGCTCTTGCTCGGCGTGTCGCAGCGGCGGCCCTGGCGAGGCGCTGTGCCCTGCGAGCTGACGGCGTGTCGCTCCGCTCTGCGTGGCGGGAGGTCGGGAACGGCTTGGGAGGTTGACGCCTTGGGGCCGGGAGGTGCTTAGCGTGTCGCGCCGAGGGGTGGTGGGCCAGAGCCAGCGGAGCGACACGCCAAGCCAAAGTTCCTGAGCGTACCCCGCGCCCACCAGGCATCGGCCTCTCTGCTCTGAGCTGCGGAGTGCTTCGAAGCCCCTCGGGCACCGCTCTGTCTTTGGTCGGGACTCGGCGCGGGGATTTCGGGGATGCCGCTCGATGCAGCACCGGACGCCAAGGACTGCCGTCCGAAAAGGAGGCGCCGTCCCCCTTACACTTCCGAAGGCCAGTCCACAGTCGGACCTAGGCCAGAAGAACATCCTTCAAGAACATGAGACCCTCGGCCGGCCAAAACACCCCTAACCCGAGGATCATTGGAGGGTACCCTCCCCCGGGATGCACAAGAGCATCCAACTTATACGAAGAACATTAGGGTACCCTCCCAAGCCGACCTCGATCTTATACCTTGGTCCGGCTTTACACGTCCAATGCTTTCAGCGTCCATCAGGGCTGGGGAGGAAGATGACGAGCCTGGGCCCCCGACGTCATGATTCTCGAGCCCTTCCGCAGTACCCGCTTCTCGTCATACGTAGTGTTTTTGACGATGCCGGAAATGGCCAACCCAAACCTCCTGCTCAGACTTTTTGCGCGACGCGAGGGGGTCTGGTAGCGGCAAGGCTTGGGGCTCCGCACAGACAGCCCCAGGCAGCCAAGACTGGCATCGTCAGGCGCCTCATGGTGCCTTAGGTCGGGCATGTCCTCCTACAGGCGGATTCTGGACAGGAAATAAAAGATACAGAACATCCAAAATACCTAGAAACGTGATCGACCAATCGTCCCCGGGCCTAATATTCTTGAAGATTCCCCCAGTAGAGGGACAGGCCCGACGGAAGGGCAGCCCAGGGCGGCCCCAGTGCTCCCCGCGTGACCCCGACGGGCGTCTGGAGCGCCCCCCCGGGTGACGGCGTGGTGCACCACCCGCCCAGGCGGCGCCACGCTTGCTTTGTGGCGCGGACCCCCCCATAGGCCGTGAACCTCTTGACCCCGTCCCTGGGAAACATGGTGGGCTTGTTTTCCACCGCCACCACCATAAGCAGGAGGGGGAGGGGGTCCTCCTCCTCCTCCTCTTCCTCCTCCTCCTCCTCCTCCTCCTCCTCCTCCTCCTCCTCCTCCACCTCCTTCCCCCTCCAACTGATGGTGGTGGTGGTGGTGGCGGCAAACCGGTCCATCAAAACAACTTCTCAACGCGGCCCAGTGCTTGATGGCACCTGGATTTGAGGAGGCCAGCGTCACGAACAGAAAGAAACAACAACAAGGAAACCAAAATGTATCGCTACTGCTACTCCCTGGACCTCTCCCAGGGCGCGTTCTGACTAGGACTTCGAGGCGACTCCAGCGATGGCGACGAAGGCCTCCTGGGATGCCCTCCCCCCCAAAAGTGGACAACGGGCAAAGGGTAGCGGTAAGGGTACCTTTTCCTCCTCTGAAGTACTTTGTTTGTCCGCTGTGTCGTGCTGTATCTCTGCATCCCTGCGACCCACCCACTCCGCGACCCACCCACATTGCTTTAACCAAAAATCGGCGCCTGCGGCGGGCTCGTTACGTCAGTTGAAGACATTCGGCGATTGCGGCGGGCTTGTTCAGAGCCTCGCAGACTTCAGACGTCCCCGCCGCCCCCTCACTCTTATCCGCGACTGCGGGGTGCTATATACTTTCTTCGTCCGCTGTGCAGCGTTGCATCTCTGGGGGGGGGGGGGGCTTTCTGGCCACCGCAGCAGCCCGCGTCGCGGCGGAGGCTGCCCAGCAGCTCGCGCAGGGCGGGCGGGGACTTCCGCCACGCCGAGGAGATGACGATGTTGGCGTCCGTCCTCCGCAATAGATCCGCGAGGAGGAGGAGGAGAACGAGGAGAAGGATCCAGAAAGAGCAGGGCCCACACGCAGTGCGGTGGGATCGACAGAAACCTTGTGTCGAGGGCACCTTCTCCCTGGGTATTTCTGACATCCCAGGAGGGCCTTGCGTTACCTGGCCACGCAGCATACTCTGGATGCTCTGCTGCTGTTCTCCCGTTGTCACCGATTCGCCCTTCTGGGTTATCACTGCTGCCAGGTGAGGCCTGCCTATTTGCCGTCACTATGGCCCAAGTAGTTTTTTAAAATCTCACGAGCGCTGTAGGTTTGCATGTCAAGTCCGACCAACGCAACAACGTCCACGCGCAGGGCAGTTGCCTATCTGGGAGACACTGCGCGTAGCACCTTCCTGGCCTGGGAGGTTGGCGTCCCATTCGGGGCACCCTGAGTTGTTTTGAGGAGGCGGACGCGGTGGATAATAAGGGTGCTGGAAAGCATAGGAAGAAAAAGGATGAGGAACTGGAGACGAGGGGAAGGGAAAAGAAGAGGTTGGATATTGTAGTTGATGTGTCGGCCAAGCGGCCGTGCATGCGAAGAACAATCTGGACGGCGCAACCACTTCAGCTTCTGGACACATGGCGGCCCAAACCGTTTCACCCTCCACCTCAGCCGAGCCAGAACAAGCCGAGCTAGCCAAAGCTAAGCCCACTGGAGAGGGGAAAAGTGGGTCAGAATCCTGTTCCTGCAAAAAGAGCTCTCGTACCTTCAACCTGCGAGTCCAACAGAGCTGCGCACAGGCCGTAGCACTGGCGGCCACTGCCTGGCCTGTCGGAGGCAGAAGCGACAGTGCGACAACCACTGCGACATATCCAACTCAGAAATTCTCTTGACAAAACTTCTGGGTCAACTCCGCGAGGGTTGCCCCACCTCGGGCTCCCCCGCAGCACCGACGGACGCATTGCGCCCCCAACGCAGCTGCCGTACTTCAGCAGGGGTTTCTGCGCACCTCGGAACGACCAAGCAAAACCATGCCCAGGCCTGTGAGTTTATGGACCGGAGCCCCGCACTCGCACAATTCGCCAGCCCATCGGGCGTACAATCCATTCGTGTGGTTGATTTGTTACCATTTTACGTACGCGCCCGCGAGAGCGCCCTGGGTGGTCTGCGGACCTGTTGGGGCAGACGTCGGCCAGAGAGCGCCCGGAGAGCGAGTGACGGCGCCCCAACAGCGCGGGCGCGAATGGATGTCGGGCCTCACGCTGCCCCCACTATGGCCCCACGTTGTTGCCCAGATTGCCCAGGACGGTCCAACTGAGCCTCATAGACGCCAAGACGGCCCAGAATGGCCGAGCAACCTTCGTCGGAGGCCTGCAGCTGGACTCCAGGGCTTCCCCCTGCGCCCGCTTCGGCCGCGGATGGGCCAGCGCCCGCGGCCCGGGCACAACGTTTTCCCTTGTGCCCGGCCGCCGTCTCGCCGTCGTCATCGTCACGATCCCGTGCAGGCGCCCTCTCGTCCGCGAGGCTCGTGCCACACTCGGTGCTAAATCATTCGGGGCTCGTGCCTGCGGCGCTGAAACCCTCTGGAGTGGTGCCCGTATCGCTGGACCCTTCGGGAACCGTGCCAGACATTCTCACAAGAGGACTCCTTGGGGTGCCCGACTGCTAAACATGCTAGAAGCTAGAATGCGCGAATGATCCGCCTCGGATTCGAACACGAAGTGCGGGGTCCCTCAGAAGGTGGCTCCCGCCTGAGACTTCCTCCCAATTCACTCCCAAGTGAGGCCCCCGCTTGAGACATCCTTATGCTTTCCGCCCTCGGGGGGCTCAAGTGCCACGCCTGGAACAATTTTCCGATGACCCGCTCGGTTTACCAACGTGAAGAGCGGGCCCCATTGGGAAGGGGCTCTTGCCTGAGACTTCCTCGTAATTCCCTTCGCAGACGAGGCACCCGCTTGAGACATCCTCACCTTTTGGGGCGCTCAAGTTCTATGCTTAATAGAGTTGCCCGATGATCCGTTCGAATTGCCAACATGAAGTAGACGTGCTTCACCTGATCCCAGTGCTGGATTCCTTCATATTCAAGCCTCGACTGGAAACTCTAAGGATCCCAGCAGAGAAGAGGCTCTCGCTCTAGACTTCCTCCAGATTCAAGCCTCGAGAGCACAACAGCGACGAGAGCTACACGATTCAGATGACCCGCTCGGACTACTAACATGACCTGCAGGCCCCATGAGGAAGGGACTCCCGCCTAAGACTTCCTCGCAGTTCACTCAGAGACGAGGCTCCCGCTTGGGACTTCCTCCAGATTCAAGCCTCCGGAGCCCAACATTGAAGAGAATTGCACGATTCAGATGACCAGCCCGCTCGGATAACTAATATGGTCTGGCGGCCGAGTACGGAGGGGGGCTCCCGCCTAAGGCTCCCTCGCAATTCCCTCAGAGACGAAGCTCCCGCTTGAGACTTCCTCCAGATTCATGTCTCGGGGGCCCCCAAAAGCGACAACTACAGGATTTGGATGACCCGCTCGGATTGCTGACATGAGTGGCGGCCCAATAAGGGAGGGAACTCCCGCCTGAGACTTCCTCCATATTCGCTCAGAGACGAGGCTCCCGCTTGAGAGTTCCTCCAGAGTCACGCCTCAGGAGACCAAGAATGACAATAGTTACAAGGTTGGGATGACCCGCTCGGATTCCTAACATGATCTGCGGGCCCCAGAAGGAGGGGATTACTTCCGTACAACTGGCGGGCCCCATCATCGCTCAATCTGTGGGCTCCACAGGAAGTGGATCCCCGCATAGTGAACGATGATGGTGAGGATGATGTTGAGATGGTGACGATGCTGGTGATAGTTTGTGTGAGAACATGGTGTGATGACGATTGTGATGATGACCCATGGCAATGATGAGATGACTGATGACGAGGACTGATGGTGGCTTGACGATGATGGCGATGATGGTGGTTACTAGTATGATGATGTTGATGATGATGATGGTGGTGATGATGATGATGATGATGATGATGATGATGATGATGATGATGATGAGTATGATGATGATGATGATGCTGATACTGCTTATGATCATGCTGTTGATGATGGTTAGGATCGTGATAGTGATGATGCCCATGCTGGTGATGATGATGATGGTGATGATAATGGTGATGATGGCGATGACAATGATAATGACTCTTGCAATGACAATGACAATTACAATGCTGCTGATAATGATGACGATGGTGATGATGGCGCGAATGATGATGATGCTGATGAATGGTGATGGTGATGATGATGATGATGATGATGATGGTGCTGATGACGATGATGATGCTGATGATGATGATGAGTATGACCATGATGATGATGATGTTGATGTTGACGATGCTGCTTATGATGATGATGATGATGATGACGACGACGATAATGATGATGATGATGCTGCTGATGCTGATGCTGATGATGATGAGGATGAGGATGATGATGATGATGATGATGATGATGATGATGACGATGATGCTAATCATGTGGTGGTGGTGGGTTCTTGTTCCCGCGCGGGCTGCCCAGAGAAAACAAAAAATCCCCCACTCAGGATGTGGGGGGAATGATATGGCTCCCGAGGCCCGACACTGGTTCAAGACGGCTCCACGAAACTCGTAGACGGCCCTCTGACCCGCCAAAACGGCCCCCGCACCCCCGAGGGACGCCACGATGGCACGCATAGAACGCGAGCGGGTCAGGATTGACTCTGGAATGACCCCAAGAGGCCCCGAGATGTCCCGAGACGTCTCCAGGATGCCCCGCCACGAAAAAGAGGCAACGAGAGAGAGAGAGAGAGAGAGAGAGAGAGAGAGAAGAGGAGAGGGAGAGGGAGAGGGAGAGAGAGAGAGGCTTCAGCTGGCCTCCACGACGGGCCCCAAATACCTCCCGAGCGGCCCAGGACCCCTCCAAGACGGCCCCAAGACCTTCCGAGGACCTAGGGAAAATCAAAGAAGTAAGAAGGCCCCAAGATGCGCCTCAAGAACGTCTCGAGGCCATCCCGCGCACAATGACTGATTCGTAATGTTGCGTGGTCGTTTCCCCGTGGGGGCCTGCCGTGACTCCCACTTTGCGGGCGCAAAACATAACAGTAAGGGGTTGCTCTGGAGGCTCGTCAGCGTGCGCCTTGGCATGCACACCCAGATGGATCAAGCAATAATCATCCTGACGTCCTGGCCAGAGACATAAGACATATTTCCCTCGTCAACTCTCAGCTGACGCCCGAGCCCTATCAGCCAGACGCACACGCCCTAGCAGCAATATGATGTATGATCAAGAACAATATCAATAAAACAATCTGGGCACTCCCTGGAAATGTCTTGAACCAAGCCTGGGCCAATTTCTGCTGCAGGTGCCGGAATGGCGAGCGTGCTCAAGAAACTGGGCTGGCTTCCGGGCAGGTTGGTTAAGAAACGCTGGCCCAGCTTTTTGGGAGGGTCCTTAATCAGATGCTCGACTGTAGCTCCCCCACGAGGAGGAGGAAAGGGAGGAGGAGGACGAGGAGGAAGAGGACGACGAGGAGGGGGAAGTGAAGGAGGAAGCCCCGCTGTGCGAATCCGAGCGTGGCCGGACAAACCAGGAACCGCTCGTCCCTCTTGATAGCACGTCTTGGCATGAAGCAGGTGGTCCTCTAGACCCTCGGCCCAGCCCCCAGGACCAACTTTCTGTCCTGCGTGGTTTTTTGGCAGTCCAGGGGCCAGGGGAAGCACGATTGTGCCAGATGCCAAGGTACTTGGGGAGAGAAAGGAAGGGAGGAGGAGAGGAGGTGAGGGGGAGAAAGAGAGGGAGGGGAGGGGTCGAGGATGGGAGGAGGATGGGAGGAGGATGAGGAGGAGGAGGAGGAGGAGAAGGAGGAGGAGGAGGAAGGCGAGGAGGACGCGTTTTGCGCCTTGCTGCAGCTGCCCTCTCCGCCGCGATGATACCAATGTCATCGAATGCCTCCGCACTGGCGCCTTGCCACATCGCTTGCCCTGACAACCTGTGGAAGCCGCACAATGCTCGGATCTACCACGTTGAGAAGGTTGGGGCCACGGCCTGCTGCCGCATCTCCTTGTGGTTGACGTGCTCGTCACATTCAACATAATCATTGATGCGTTGCGAAAGCAGGCATGTGTTACAATGCGGATGTTTGCGCTCAGCGACATGCCTGGCAGCCAAGTGAGAGCACCACCTTGCTGAGGAGGCGTGGTTCCCTTTACGTGAAACCAATGGTGGAAAAGGTCAAATGTGCCCCCCTTCATCGTCGGATGGATGGATGCCCTAGTGCCCTTTGGGAGGCGACCTAAGTGAGGAAGTCAAAAACATTAGGCTTAGGGGGTCTTTTCTGCAGGTATATCGAAGCAAACTGCCCAAATCAATTATCCATAATGCAAAGACGGGGACCTCAGTGAGGCCACGTGCTCATTATGTTATTAGGGTTAGGGGTCCTTCTATCCTCCATGACAAGAGGGGGAGGAGGAGGAGGAGGAGGAGGAGGAGGAGGAGGAGGAAGAGGAGGAGGAGGAGGAGGAGGAGGAGAAGGACCAGGAGGAGAAGAGGAGGAGGAGGAGGAGCAAGTGGAGGAAGAGAAGGAGGCAATAGCTTCGGGGAACAGCTATTGGCTCCTTTGAGCTGCCTCTTCCTCATGCTTTGATTTTCTCACGAGCCGCTCACCGATTGGGCTGCGAGGTATCTGCGCCGAGAAGAACGAGGATGAGGAGGAGGAGCAGGAGGAGGAGGAGGAGGAGGAGGAGAACGAGGAGGAGGCGTAGGATCGAGGAGGGGGCTGGCGTCCAGTCCTCCGCGCCAAGTCCGCGAGGTTCCCCAGCAGCTCCGCGTCGATGGGAGCTCCTGCCAGCTCGGGCCGATGTTATCCCTCTCCTACGCTACCTCGGCCTCGGCTCCGACACCGCCTCCGCCTCAGCCTCCGCCTGCCTGTTCCTCCGCCTCCTCCTCATCATCATTCTCTGCTTCAACCTCTTCCGCCTTCCCTTGTCCTACGGAGCCTATGTTTGCTTTCCTGGCCAACGCGGGCTTCTTGGCCTGCTCGGCCAAACTTTTTGGTAGGAACCCGGGGATTGGGGGGAGAAACATCGCCTGTGATATCGTGGTTCGCAGCCATCCAGGCATGGTGAGGTCTACTTTGAGGTCGGGCAGGTCCTCCTACAGGCGGATTTTGGAAGACACATTAAACATTATTGAAACATGTTCAAGCATAGTCAGAATCAATAACACAATCGAAACATCGTCCCGAGACTATATGTTTGAACTGTTTTTGAATCATGTATTCCTCCTCTAGGGTCGGCGGTGGACAAGCCTCCCTTTAGTAAACCTCCTTTTTGTGAAAACGGCATGGGGCCGAAACCGACGGAACCGAACCCGCAAACATGACGGCCGCGACGCCCTCTCGCGAACCGAAAACGGCAGATTCCTTGATCGACGTGTCAGGGTAGGAGGTCTGCCCACCCTTGCGTTGCTCCCATCGTACTTAAGGACTAGATCCTGGAACTGATTTCGAGCACCCAGAAAAGTGTCGAAAGAGTGCGGACTCAGGTGTCGAAAGAGTGTCTCCCAGGGCCCGACACGTGAAAACCCTCGAGTTTTTGGGTGCTTTTCTGGTGCTCGGCATTCTTTCTGGTGATCAAGGCTAAAGTAGGCTGGAGCATCATTAGGGGAACAAGAAGTGTCATAAACATAACAACTCGGAGGTCGGCGCGGATTTCTCAGATCGGCTCTGGACCCTCCTCCCTGGCTCGCGGAGCGCGCCAGGGGCGGCGCCGGAGGCGCCGCGGGGGGGCCCCAGCGCCGATCCGAGAAATCCGCCCAGACCTCCGGGTTGTTATGTTTATGCCACTTTTTGTACCCCTAGTCATAAGTCCACCCCCGATAGGAGGCACACGCCCGACTCAAAAATGTACTCTGAGCCTGCGCTCGGCACAGCTGCAAGCTCTTGGCCGCTGGCCGCGGCCCGCCGCGCGACGCAGGCGCCGAGCGCGGCGCGGGGCCATCCCCGGCGCCCCCCCTCCGCCTCCCGCCCCGCCGCCTCCTCCGCCAGCGGCCGCCTCCTCCTCCTCCCCCTCATCTCAGCCCCCATCCTGCATGCCCCATCCTCCCCCTCCTCTCGCCTCCTCCGCCTCCTCCTCCTCTCCTCCTCCTCCTTCCCCCACTCCTCTCCTCCTCTCCTCCTCCCTCCGCCTCCTCCTCCTCCTCCTCCTCCTCCTGCTCCTGCTCTCTGCTTCTGCTCTCTCTCCTCCTCCTTCTCCTCCTCCTGCTCCTCCTCCTCCTCCTCCTCCTCCTCCTCCTCCTCCTCCTCCCCCATTGCGCGCAGAGGGCCCGCACGGCCCCCTCCCGTCGCGCTGGTCATCTGCTGTGTAACGCCGCCGCGGCACCTGTCAAACCGGGCTGCACCTAAGCGGTGTTTTTCGTTATTGTTTTGTTTTTGTTTTCCCTCGTTTTGTCTTGAACCGCCTTTACCGCAAAACGAAGTCGAACCGAAAACGGCCCTCGAAAACGCCAAAACACCGTTTAGGTCCAGCCCTGCTGTCAAAGCATGCGTAGTACTTGCCTCTGTACCCGGAGCAGCCGGTGCTGCATCGCCGTCGTCATCGCCCACGCCGCACAACCATGTCACACAATGGGCGTAGCAGTTCTGTTATTGGGTGACTGCTCCGCTCCGCTCCCTCCACCCGCCTCGGACGAAGAGGCCGGGACAAGGGCAGCATCGGGCGAGGAGGAATCGAGAATGTCCGAGGTCTGGCGGCTCTGCAGGATGGATCGGGCGCCCGGGCCTTGTCGGAGCGTTCTGGCACGCTCTGGGCTGAGCAGGGACCGACCGTGCCGTCATTCCTACACGCAGACCTACCACGATTTTTTCTTAGACCCCCCGAAAGGCTCGAAAAACACATATAGTGTTCTCAGAACATAAGCCCGATGTGTTAAAACAGAACAGCCTCTACCATACATGTTCTGAGACCGTGTCGTGCAGACCACACACGGTTGTTAGAACATGTTTCAGTGGGCCCATAGGCAAGCCAAGGCGCTTCGCCACTGCTTGACTGAGCGCGTGCGGGAACGATCTGGAACGGATTTCTCCTCGTCCCATCCCCGCACGACGAGGGCAAGCCTGCCCTCCTCCGCTCCCTGCTCGGGGGTCCCTGCCGTGGGTTCGCGTCGTGTCGACCCAGGCGTAGGTTCCTGACACCGCGGGGATCGTTCCGGCCGCTTCCGAAACATCATCAGATCTTTCAGCATCGACCGATTCTGGGGCGCCAGCGGCGTTCTCAGCGTTGAACGCCGGCGGCGGGGTCACCGCTGGTCGACACGACGCGAACCGGGTAGGGTGGCGTACCATACAGTGAGCCTGAAATCCCCCAAAATACATCACCCATACTCCGTGTGAAACGCCGCTGGCTGCACATGGAAGATCCCAGCCCCTCCATAAGCTCCCCAGAACCCAGATGGCCCCAAACAAGAATCGGTGCTGGGGGTGTGCACAGCGCTGAGACGCGTACAGCCACACTGGCCAGAGCAAGACCAGGAAGCGCTCGGAGCTGGTCGCCTCCTCCACTCGCGCCGCCCTTCCTGCACCGGGGCACGCAATTATCTACTCACTAGCCCAGGGCGGCAGGGCGCCCAGGCTTGGCGGCCCTCGCGCCCCTGCGCATGGCTCGGCCGCTCCGCTGCGGCAGCCCCCCGCCTCCGAAGACGACGACGACGACGACGACGACGCCGCCGCCGCCGCCGCCGCCGCCGCCGCCGCCGCCGCCGCCGCCCTCCTGCCTCGACGACGCAGTGCCCGGCTTCCGCCGCCGCGCACCTCTCCGCTGGCGTGTGCGCTCCCCTCCCCGCCGCCACCAGGCCGGAGGCCAACCCCGAGCGCGCAAGCCGCTGCGGTCGCATCGCATTCGGCCATCGGGGGGCCCCGATGTGCCCGCACCAAGGTTCACTCCGGCGATAGGTCACTCCTACGCGCAGCCGACCCCCTCGCACCAGCCCCCTGCAAGGCGGCGGATCCCGTGGGACTCCGGTTCAAGACGCCGTCCACGTCCTGGAAGATGAGGGGCCGCACCCCGTCCTCGGTGCTCGCCTCGGCTGGCGTGGGGGAGGAGGCCCCCAGATTCCAGGCGTACTATGCGACTTTCCACAACGTGGACCCCTGGAACCTGGAGCCCTTCCCTGGGACCAGCTTTTCAGCCCGCCGGTTCCCTCAGTAACGGGGCTGCCCTCCGAAGTTAGAAATCGCCAGAAAAATCTGCAGTCGTGGCACTTTTACGGCCGGAGGGGGTCTGAAATCCGCCGGAGCCTCGACGCCGACCCCCGGACCTCTCCCGGGGTGCGTTCTGGCCAGAACTTCGTTGAAGGCGACCCAAGTGCGGCCACGAGGCGCCGCTCCGAGGTCCCAGAAGAGCGGATCACGAGCCCAGACCAGCAACCCTGCCCCACAACGACGAAGGCGACGACGATGATGCTGGAGGAGATGGCAACTAAAAACTGAAAGGAGGGGGAGCGCTAGGGGAGGACCTGCTCGGGGGGGGGGGGGGGGGGGAACTGCCGGCTGGAATCGGCGACACGGTGCCGAGAGTCGGTGGAGAGCCCAGGGGGGTCTTTGAGAGGGGCAGGCCTTCTCAAAGGCGGCGGGGCTGCTCGGAAGTCCTCCCCGGCCTTTTGAGAAGGCGCCTCTGCCCTCGGAGGAAGGTTGAGAAAACTGCTCAGATGGCGAAACAGACTTCTGAGGAGTTGATTCGACACAAAGCCCTCTGATCGGGAGCGGCCAAGGGGGGGGTCCAAGAGGGGGGGGTGCAAATCGTGACCGGCGGCGTGTGCGCGGCCCAGCGGGGGGGGGACGCAGGAGAGGCGCCATGACATCTGGGGAAACATCATGGCCCCCGCCACGATATCCACCCCCGCCTTAACTAGTCATCACCCCCCTCTTTGCCGCCCCCGAAAGGAGGGGAGGAGGGAGGAGGAGGAGGAGGAGGAGGAGGAGGAGGAGGAGGAGGAGGAGGAGGAGGAGGAGGAGGAGGGAGGGAGGAGGAGGAGGAGGAGGACGAGGAGGAGAGGAGGAGGAGGAGGAGGAGGAGGAAGAGGAGAGGAGGAGGAGGTGAGGAGGAGCAGGAGGAGCAGGAGGAGGAGGTGGAGGAGGAGGAGGAGCAGGAGGAGGAGGAGGAGGAGGAGGAGGAGGAGCAGGCCCCCCTGGGGCCCCTCCGCACGGCCCTGGGCGGGACCAGGCTGCGTCTCGGGGCCTCCTCCGCGCCGGCCGCGCCGGCGGCCTGCGCGGCCGCCCCGAGGAGCCCCCGCGGGCCCATGGCGGCCACGGGGCACCGCGGCGGGGGCGGCGCTGAGCCGGAGAGCGGCCGCGGAGGGGCTCTCGAGGGTCGAGGCGCTCGAGGGTCGACTTGAAGGGCGCCCGCCGCGGACTTTCGCGTCGCGTCGGCCCCGGCGCTGGCTCCCGACACCGCGGGGGCCGTTCCGCCTTTGGAGATCGGCCGCTTCCGAAACATCATCAGGTCTTTCAGCATCGACCGATTCTGGGGCGCCAGCGGCGTTCTCGGCGTTGAACGCCGGCGGCGGGGTCGCCGCTGGTCGACACGACGCGAACCTACGGTACACGGTGGGGTGGCGCACCATACAGTGACCGCAAAATCCCCCAAAATACATCACCCATACTCCGTGTGAAACGCCGCTGGCTGCACACGGAAGATCTCAGCCCCTCCATAAGCTCCCCAGAACCCAGATAGCCCCAAACAAGAATCGGTGCTGGGGGTGTGCACAGCGCTGAGACGCGTACAGCCACACTGGCCAGAGCAAGACCAGGAAGCACTCGGAGCAAAACCCCTCTGGCCTGCGAGCCGCAGCTGATTAGCAATAAAAGCACCCCTAACCCTTTGGGAGGGGATTCAAGTTAGAAGGGCCAGAAACATCAGGGATAGGGGGTCTTCTCTGCAGATCTCTCAGACCAAACCGCCCAGATCTATGATCCCCTCTGCAGAAAGACGGGGACCTGCGTGAGGCCACGTCGTCACCATGCCATTAGGGCTAGGGGTTGTTCTACCCTTGAGATGCGCAGCCCCTGACCCAGACCGAGGGGGGAACAAACACCTGCGACGGTCCGTCACCGCACGGCCTTGGGAGTCTGCCCCGTCACGGCGCCGGTAGGCCGGCCCAGGGCGACGCCAGCTCTCCCTTGGAGGCTCTCATGGCCCGCAGGGCTACGGGCACGAACAATAACTTCACCATGAAAACTCGGTGGTCCGGGCGGATTTCTCGGATCGGCGCTCGACCCCCCTCCCTGGCGCGCTCCGCGCGCCAGGGGCGGCGCCAGAGGCGCTGCCAGGGGGCCACAGCGCCGATCTGAGAAATCCGCGCGGACCTCCGAGTTTTCATGCTTATGTCCTTGTTCGTTCCCCAAGGGCACTCCTCACGAGGCTCAGAGCGCCCCGGGGGCTCCAGAAGGGCGCAGGAGGCCAGTGGAAAGCTTGGGCGAAGACCACCTCCAGCAACCTCGGACGCGGGGGCCGTGGATCGGGGCTCGAAGATGCAGGATCGAGGCTCCAGCTCCTGCGCGCCCCGGGCACCACGCATGTGCCTCCGGCTCGTGGCGAGCAAGGGAGCGCGAGCCGCAGCGGCTACAAGCTTCGGTGGCAACTCAGGGGAGCCTTCCGTACCATCCTGTCGGCTCTTGCGAATCGACGCTAGTCGACGCTAAATCGACGCTACTCGACGCTAGCCGACGCAAAACGGGCGCTACCTCATCGACTCCCAGACGCCAATCGACGCTAGTCGACGCTAGCGATGGAATCAAGAGGGCACACCAGGCTCCCACGAGTTGCTACCGAACACAAGCCCTCAGTTCTGGGCCACTCGGCCCTCAGCCACAAGAACCGCGCTGGCCGGTGATTCGACATCTTCGGCTTCTGGAGGCCGTTCCTGTCGGCGGTGGACAAACCTCCCTTTCGTAAACCTCCCCTTCGTGAAAACGGCCTGGGAACGAACCCGACGGACCTGGACCCGCAAACATGACGGCCGCGACGCCCTCTCGCGAACCGAAGACGGGCAATCCCTTAACCGACGTGTCAGGGTAGGAGGTCTATCGACCTCCGATGCTGGAGGCCCCCAGCAGGGGGGTCGAAGCAGGTGGAGCCGGAGGCTCGCGCCACGTCGTCGATGCGTCGGCGGGCGACGCCGGCGTGGGGAGCATCGCGCTCGGCATCGAACCGCATCGCCGATGCATCGGCAACCATCTGCTCTTTGGGTGGACCAGAAGGGCCTCCAGCTGCCAGGGGGAGGGGCAGTAGATTTGGGGCAATCTGATTGCAGATGTACTGCGCCGGAGAATTGTATTGCTTGGTATTGCGAGGAATGCGTTGCACGCGAGAATGCAACAATACATGTGCGCCCCGAAATGTATTGCACGCCCCCAATGTATTGCAGCCCCACAAATCTACTGCACCAAATCTATGGCCCCCCCCCCTTGACGCTGGACCCCCTTTTGAATCAAGCAGAACAAGAGACTCGACATGAACATCCGGTCCTATAGGGAAGCGGTCGGGACCTCTGGGAGTCCGTGTTGCGAGAGATCGCGAAGGCGGGGGTGGGGAGGTCCGAGCAGGCAGGGCCTGCGGACAAGACTCTCGTCTGCTTCCGGCCCCACTTGGGCCTCCAGGGACCGCTCGAGGCCTTCGAAGGACACCGATTTTTTCAGCAGACCCCCAGGGACCCCGGGTCTCCCAGCTTCGCGATGCGCGCCGCGCGCAGTGGGAGGCGCGACTGTCTTCGCGTTCCCGCGAGGCCCCCATGGAGAGGGGCGCCTCCCTTTAATTTTAGGTCGGGCATGTCCTCTACAGGCGGATCTTGGAACAAAAATAAGAAATGATCAACACATCACAAATAGCCAAAAGAACACGACAATCGTCACAATACTCTTCTTGCCCGTTCTTGAGTTTGCCGCCTGTAGAAAGACATGCCAGACTTAACCTGAATTGCCTGGTCGCGACGTGCGAAGCCCGGCTGCATCTGTTCTGGCATGCAACCTCGAGGGAGGGACTGCTCGGAGAGAAGCGCTTCCGCTCGCCCGCGCCTGTGGGCGGACTAAGAAGTGTCCACGCGTGTCTCGCGGACCAAAATAAATACTCTCCTTTCCCCACGTTCAAAGTTGACCGGGACAATCTGTGGACACTTCAACTTTAGGTTTGGGGGGAGGGGCGCGAAGCACGGGCATTGCGCAGTTGTCGCTGTTACACCATCGAAATCTATAGTACGGACGGGCGGTAATGACGCAAGGGCCGTGGACGCCGAACATGTCACTTCCTCGGCGGCGGACTGCCAGCACCCTGAGGGGCTGGCCGGTGAACGCCGCGCAGGACGAGCCGCAGAGGCCAGAACGCGAGGGTACCCTAAGGACGGCCGTGCGCCCTTATTATGCATCTCGACTGCAATGCTGCATCGCCTTACCACCACCACGGGTTTGGGCACTTCTTGTCTGGGCTCCGGCGCACTTCAAGTCGCACACGTGCTGGGTGCTCGGGGGCGACCGTCCCGGCATTCCTATAGGCCTGCCACTGAAATTCTTACAACCAGAAAATGTTCGAATTACAAAACAGAATAAGATAAGGACGACGTGCCAAAACAGAACAGTCTCGGCCCGAGAGGTTCTAAGAACAGTTCGTGCAAACCACAAACAAGTGCTTAGAACATTCTTTGGTGGGCTTATCGGAGAGCCAGGACGCTTCGCCTCTGCTTGAGTCTCCTTCGGCCAGGGCGGAGGGTTGGGGCTGGCGGGGCCCGCACGGCCTCGTAGGGGCCCGGGGGTGGCAGGGGGCCTGGCTGGGGGCGGTGGGCGGCCCGAGGCGGTCCGGTCACGGACCGTGCGATCCCAAGAGCGAGCTCACCGCGCGGACCGTCACCGCACGTCTTGGGGCCCCGGAGGCCCTGGTCGCCGGAGACATCCCCAGAACAGGACCGGGCCCCGAGACCGCGCGGCAGCTCCGCATCCCAGCTGGCTCACCACATGGTGTGGTCACGGCACCGTCTGGGGACTATCCCGAGCGTCGTGGGGGCTCGTTGGGGGCAGCCTGGAGCTCAGAGCCG